ACAATGTCTTTCGCACTGAGAAAATTATGTAATCCATCCACTTCATTCATGCATATTGTCTTAAAGAATGTCATTTAGCATTGAGAAAACTGTGGCAATGTGGCATTACAATTCTGTGTCTGCGATGTTGTTCGAAATCAGTGTTATTAGTTTATGTTCAGAAAGATTGATGGGTCAGATCTTTCATCTGATTTTGTGTGAGTATGAATTGTTTCTCCGAAATTAATGCTCTTTGACAATTTAAAATAGGTTGTATCAGTAATCTAAAGTCGCAATAGGCCGGTCATATAGCTCGAAGAACCGGCAACCGATGGAACAAAAGATTGACAAGTGACAGCCTCGTTCGTACTGGAAAGTCGACCGACAGTCGATGGATGCAGGTGACCCAGGCACTTTGTAGCAATATGTGACCCAAACGAAACCGAACTAATATCAATTTAACTACTGGTCAGTTTAAACCATACACCAATTTTTATGTTTGAACTTGGTATAATGAATGTTTTGACAAGGCTATTATACCATTTGTCTAAGTCCTTTTTCTTTATCTTTACAATAGACACCAACACGGGGACAGATAAACTGATGGTTTTTCTCGCGTCTTATCTTTCATTATTTGGAAAAATCCACGCTCGACGGCGCAAAAAGCGGCTTACTAATAATATTGATATTTTTCATAGCCATTATTTAAACCTGTTTAGTAAATATGGATTAATTTCAGCCTATAAAAGTTCTATGTTGAACATAGGACTCCCCATAAAATGCCACATAGCGTGGATAGTTGCCTCGCTTAGCAGGCGTGTGGGTAACCGTATTTTTTTTCTAGAGATGTTTTTAGAAAGACATTTGGCTTGTTTCCCTCTGTCTCTGTAAGTAACAATAAAACATAAAAATATTTACTTTAATCTTTGTATTTTTTAAGCGGTTATTCATTTTTTTTTTTATAGAAGAGGGGGCAAACGAGCATGCGACTCACCTGATGGTAAGTGACTACCGCCACCCATGAATAGGACTGCCATCCGTCCGGGTTTCCCCGGATTTGTGCTAGTTTGGAAGACGTCCGGGGAGAATCCGGGCGGGGTTTAAATTGTAGTCCGGGTGCAATCCGGACTACAATAAAAGTCCGGGTTTTCGATCAGATCCCGTTCCCATAATTTATAGGATTTGTTTATCTTTTATTTAATATCTAAGAAGGTTAAAAAATAAAGCAAAATTACCCACTTGTTGTCACAAGAACGATTAAATAACACACTATTTCATGCAACAAAAGAGGCTTAAAATTAAAGTTTTCTTCTATCAGGTACGAAGTAAAATATATTTTAATCAAGATGTAAGTGAATGAAAAAGGTATTGAAATGTCCGGGGTGAAAGCTCCAAAATCCGGGGAACTTACGCTTCCGGTCCTGGAAGGCAGGTTTTAGAGATGACAGCCCTACCCATGAACAACCGTAACACCAGGGGAATTGTAGTGCAGATGCGTTGCCGGCCGGATTTCCATTAAGGCATTAAATTGTAATTTAAAAATGTTCGTGCAAAGTTTTTACTATCATTGGATGTACATTACATGTATGTACTGACGAAGTAATTTCAAGGTTTCATCTTTAATGCACGCCATACGCATAGTGTAAACAAAAAACAAATCGATATCATAAATACGCACACATGGACTATAATGCTGTTAAATTAAAAACATAGGTAGGAAATAAAAGGACATTGCGCACTGTTAAACACGATAAACGGTAAAGTTATAGGTTGTGTAAATAATGAATATTCCATGTTGACATAATTACATAACATATCCTTGAATGTATCTTTATAGAGGTCGCTTTAATATACAGTACAGTAAGGTAATGGATTTCTTACATAACCTCCTCCACGTCTATACCGAAACTTTTCATTATAATACAATTACTCATAGAACTGAATCAAGTTCCAGTTTGTTGATATAGAGGTCAAGTTCAAGGGACGTCCAAGAGAATTACATCACATGTTGACTGCAAACATCAAAGCGCAACGTTTATAGGTCGTTCCAACTACAGGAAAAACAAACATTAGCGCTATGCGGTCTGTGGAAGTCATGAGACAGACGCGTGGCACACCATGCATGCGGCACGCTACGGACGCATGCCTCACGCGCAACTACCGGTCGTCGAGGTTGACTGAAATACGTAAAATCTCACGCTTCGAAATATCTGTTGTCGATATTCTCTAATTGTTTATTCAGTTCAGTGTCAAGGTTAACTGTTTATAGTATGTCTCCGTTAAGTTACATAAGCGCGTAGGAGGTATTTATGAGCGAAATAAAACCAATGAACAATGTCACGATAATAACAATGAAAAAACTGGCCACACACAGTGTGGGTCTTTATTTTCCAAGCAGTCATATAGGGAGGGGCATTCAAAAAAGATTAAAAAACATTTCGATAAAAAAAATTTATACAATCCACATCAAATCATTCACATGGCAATTCCGTACAAAATTGGTCATAGTTCCCTATCCAACTATTAGTTCTCGGCAGTGCAACCCTAACCCGTAAACCACCACTGCCGTAAACTATCCTGTGGGTCGCCCGCGTAAACTAAGAGTAATACCACGAATGAAATTGTAGGCCTACAATAACTACTAACTAAAAAATAAGCGAAAGTGGAGCCAACCTCGTAAATAAAACGTAAAGCTATAGTAATAATGCATAAGTCGTTTTCTACAAAAAAAAAAGTTTATTTTTTACAGTTTACAATAACATTACAAAGCTGTAATGCACCTAGTTTTAGGTAATTTTCTATGGAATTGTAACGAATTTTTTACTAATATAACATTGAGTTATTATGTACTACGTACGTAAGTACATTATACTTCAATGTAATATAAGTGCATTTTATAAGTTGGTCGATTATTACTCGTTAATTTGTTAAACCTACTTAGCTGTGATAGTTTTTCTTTTACCTTCATTACATATCCTACTACTGTGCATACTTTTCACATTTCCTAAAACAGTGGTTTAGTTGGTAGAGGGGGGGGGGGGGGGGATGACACGGACCCCTGAATCGAAAAAAAATTGTTCCATACCCCCAAAATTTTAGAAAGACCTATCCAACGACACTCCAGATGATAGAATGGAAGGATTACAAAAAATCTCCTGTATGGGAGTTACACGAAATAAAAATGTTTTTAAGATTTTGTTCCACAACTTTGTAGAAGTGATTAATATCTATAACTATGCTAAATTACAGCTTTATAGCGCCTAGTATCTCTGAGTAAAACCGCAGACAGACGGACGGACAGACATGGTGCAATTATAAGGGTTCCTTGTTGTTTAACTACGGAACCCTAAAAAGGCAGTTATTAAAAAAGTGACCATTGACACAAAAATAAAAATCGAGCTAAAATAACAAATTTTACCCGATTGAATGGATTTTCGACGGTTGGTTCTGCTAATTAAGTTTTGTTTTCATAATAAAACAATTTAGGTCTAGCTAAACAAGTCTAATTTGCTTAAGAGTTTAGCTTACATCAGGGGCTAAGTGCTCCCTGTAAATTTCACAGTACCTACCTAATATGGCTAATAGCGTTTGTACTTCACTGGCAAAAATTAAATTGTTAATTGCAATGTTAAGTGCTGATTTTTACACGTTTAGGAGAACATCGTAATGAAGCCTATCGAAAAGCATGATGTGTGAGAAATAACGTACTTCGAGGACTTGTGAAGTCCGTCTGTCCATTGTTTTAACCAATCTATTTTAATATTATTGTAAATATGTTAAAAAAACCGGCAAAGTGCGAGCCGGACTCGCGCACCGAGGGTTCCGAACAAATCTGTAAGTATATAAGTTTAAAATTATTAAAAATATTTTTATTATATGATGTAACTAAAAATTTATGCTTTTCGCAATTTTTGCTTTATCTGTGCTATAAAACATTGCTTCGTACCACATTTCAAGATTCTAAGTTCACGGGAAGTACCCTGTAGGTTTTGATCTTTTGATTGCGTTGGCTTAGAAGTTTGATATTTTCACAGCTCTAAGAGACAGTAGACTTGAGTATTTGATATGAATTTTAGCTTGATACCTCCACCCGTTCCTGAGAAAAAGGGTCTTGACAGACAGACAGACGGACGGACAACAAAGTGATCCTATAAGGGTTCTATTTTTTCCTTTTGAGGTACGGAACCCTAAAAATGTCTTGATTCCTTAAATATTGCAAATATTTATCCCAAAATAACAGGTAAAGTTCAAGCTAGTCCAGTAATAAAAGCACCTTAGAAATTATTTAAGTGCATTCAGGTCATCTTTGTGATGGCTTCAAAACATGATAAAAGTAATATAGGCAAACAAAAATATTTTGATTTGACTACAACAAATGTGTCAACACATAACATGTTTTTAGTGAAAATAAGAAAGTTTTCTACCGAGTGTGGATATTTTCATTCTTTTTTTAAGAAATAGAAGACTAAAATCTTTTTTTCCCTGTAACAATAATGCGATAAGTAAGTAAACAAACGCATATCGTTTATATTAACATACCTATTAAGGGAACGAAATACAATCATGGCGACGCAAATGATATAGTCAGTTAAAATACGTAGCCGCGTGTACACATCGTTAACGGAGCTCTTTAAAAAAAATTAAGTCCATTCGGATAAGATGCGAGACAACCCTCGATGGGTCAGTCAGTAGTGATAACCCCTGTACGTCAACTGGCACCTCCGACACAGCCAGACGCAAGTGAGAAATTCACCCTTTTGCGACGCGACTCGCATAATCTATAAAGGCGACCAGCGCACACAAAAGAAACAGTTCGTCTTCTATCTCGGCCGATGATGCCTTGTTAATGTACGCGAGCGAGATTAACGACTCATTTCTGCAATGACACACGAAAGACTTTAGAATAGTGAATTGTAAGCAAAACATTTTGAATAATCCCTCCATTTTGGGGACGCGCATGCGTTCAAACCACATTGTGATTGGACGTGTAAAAGAACGTTCGAAGTAAAAAAAAAAACAACATGAGTGAAACCAGTAACTGTGTTGTCAGTCGCACTGCGTGCAACAGCAAGGGTAGCATGATCGTTGTTTCTAATCGCCTGCCCTTTGTGCTAAAGAGAAATGAGAAAACCGGTGAATTAGAAAGGAAAGCCAGGTAATTTTGTAGTAAAATTTCTTCCACAATATGATTACATGCTATTACATGAGTATTTCGAACATAAATCCATAGATCTTGTCAAAGGAAACGTAATTGTAATAATTTACAGCAATTTAAGGATCACTGCATGTTACTGTTTCAATTGTATTGATTGTAACTAATTAAGGTGCTTTAAATTTTTCTAATTCTATCTTTTAACATAAATGTTGGCTGCGTATTAAATATAAGTTTCAATCGAGTGTCACCTTTCGATCGAAAATTCGGGAAATTTCTGTGGATCCGTTATTTGCCCTTCGGAATGTCACAGTTGTTGTTCAACCTTTCTGGAAACGTAATCTGAATTCTTTATCAAATACATAAACATTGATTTTCAATAGTGTTACATGTTTCATAATTTGATCGTTGTGATTCAGACCTCACGCTAACATCAATATGTACTAATTAATAGCAAATTCCATTGATATTAATCTATGAAAATAAATTAACTGAACTATTGGTGTTACGTTATTAAAACTTCAAAAATAATTCGGCAATTCAAATGAACTTTGTGCTAGTGAGTATACGCCGTTTAAAAATAATCTTTAAAAGAAACCGCAACGAATTTAAATCTAAACGAAACCAATGGTTAAAATAATAACAGATGTAGGTGATTTTTCACTCTAACGATTTTTGCTGTAATAGTACGTGTTATATATTTATAAATATTGTAGAAAAATTGATGATTATATGTATAGACTATTATTATTACAAAGTATTGAAATTCATAAACGGTAAAAAACGTTCGTACTATAGGTACACAGTTTTGCCTGCTTTAGTTGAATCTCATTTTACATTTTATCTTTTTGATAATTAATACTGTCATTTTCCAATATTCAAAACCATGGTGATTTTGTATTTGATTCAATGTGATGTGATCTTAAAAAGTTTGAGTTATATTTTGAATGAAAATACATAATATTATGTATGTTATAGCGCTAAGGAAAATATCTTACAAAGAATCTCAACTTTTTTTTTCCAGTCAATTATTTATTGTACGAGTTTTTATTTGGAATGTAAATAACTTTTAGAGGTTTTAATCTGGATCTTTTTTCCTTTTAGACTAACCAGTTAAATTCGCCCTCGTTTTCATCCTACTTTAAACTTCTACATGCGAAACGCACACCATGCTTCCCTAAAAGTCTCAGATTTATTTGAACTTTAATATAATAATCATGATATTATATTTATTTAATAAAATCATTCCTTATAGAAATGTTAAGGCGTATCTGACCTATATATTTTTGTGTGAAACACAATTAAAGCAATGGTTTCTCCACTCCCTAATTTGACCCTTGTATTTCAATATCGCCAAGGAGAACACTTTAGCGAATGGCATACTTAAACTCTTCTTCATTTGATATTTAGTAAATTTCATGTTATTAAGAAGATAACTGAAGTTCATTATAAAAGAAATTGAAATATAGTTAATTGAGCAAGGTATAGACCTTTTATCAAACACAAATATGTATATGAATACTATTGAACTAAACTAAATGAACTCGTTTATTGTTATTATCATTATAATCAAAATGTACAATGTCCATTGTCGGACAGACGCCTCGAATCGAATGAAATCGAATTTTTCTGAGTTGTAATAATTCGACACCATCACAAATGACTAGCAGATTTTTGAATATGGAATCTTCTAAGAAATTATTTGATTTTGCTGGCATTTCCTTTAAAACCCTTCGGTTGGGACAGTTATTATCGTAACAATACAGGGACAATAATTATAAACTTGGTAGGTACTAATACTAAACCTGCGGTAGTAATTCTATCTCACCTGGTATATTATATTGTATACAATATAAATACTCGATTTACTACTGTATATCAGTGTAATGACACATCACATGCTTCAATTCACAATTTTCGTAAAATAAAAATTCCACGAAATTATGTAGTGGTATTTACTACACGCACACACGTTTAGAATAGTTAATAAGAAAGAATTTCTGACGTTCACGTAATTCCCTTACTCGTATTATTACTTACGTCGTAAAAACACATTTGCAAATTTTCTCACTGCATCTTTGAAATTTATGATATCCTACATATGTTACAGTCAAAACTCAAAAACGGTCAAAACCACTTTTGACTGCAAAAAATCGGGCAAAAGTAGTTTTGACTAAAGATGTTGGTCAAATCCATTTTAACTGCAAAAATACTGGGTAATAGTGATTTTGACCAAATTACATCGGTTAAAAATGGTTTTGACCAAGAATATCAGTCAAAACTACTTTTGACTTTTACTTTTTAAATTTCTGAAATTAAAACTTTTAATTTACCTTCAATATAATACTTTATATCATTATAATGTACGCATCTTTGGGGTGGCCCAAGGGCCACCACAGCCGCACCTTATCCTACTGTTACTGATATTGCAAGTTTTGACCGATAGCCTGAAGTTTAAATAAGACAACACCACCTTTGACTAAGAACGTTGGTTAAAACCACTTTTAACTACAAGAATCAGTCAAAACTGTTTTTGACTAAGGGTATCGGTTAAAACCATTTTTGCCTGATTTTCGCAGTTAATTGTGGTTTGACCGTTTATGAGTTTTGATTGTGACATATATACCAATTAAATATTTACTGCAAAATTACAGTATTTACGCCATTTGGATAATAAGAATAGAAAGAACAACACCGTTTGAATAATTTAGCGCCTACTTTGCCTCTGTTACTTTTTTTTAGATATTGTTGAAGAAGACAGTTTAAAAACTTATTTAAAAAAAATTATTGTAAGCTAGCGACGGGCTCTATTAATGTGGCGTCAATCAGATTTTTGAAACCAATGCTCAAGTTTTCTATTAAAATTCTCCATTTTATTCAGATAAAATATAGCTAGATCACTGCTACACTACACTCTATCAGTTTGTAAAGTTTCATCACGATCGGTTCAGCCATTCCGAAAGTTAACCCTTACAGACAGAGAGAAAGACAAAAATTTTACAAATAGTTATCTAACCATGTCTTAATTGCAGCTTGAGTCAAATAATAGCCACACGATATCAAATAGCTCCCTGCACGGTTAGCATGGGCTGAGGACAAAAATTTTATCCCCCGATTATATCCTCTGACAAGAGATATAATTATCTTGTCCCTATGCCAAAGCACGGCAACGGGGAGAAGTTTTTCCCTGTTTGACATAACGAGTAGACATATATCTATATATATATTTTTGACATTTGAAAGGGACAATTCTATCCTAGTTCATTGGACGTGAGTTTAAGTTTATATTCATTCAAAAAATCTAAGTCTATCTCCCATTTTATCTGATGTGGATATTATATCCACCAGTGTGCCCAAGCTCGAAGGGTGGATAAAACTAAGCGAGGGGATAAACATTTTCTCCTTTCCCCAGGGATAAAATTGCCTCCTGCCCATGCTAGCCCCGTTAAGCTCGATAAAAAGACAGTTATTTCGATATCATATACTTTTCAATTTTATTTTGTATAGATTTAGAGAAACATACGAAATTTGTTGGGATTTCTTTTAAAAAAATATCAGATTGACGAAAGACGCTACTGCTCATCACCTGATTTGATTCCACCTGTCGACTCTTACGACACCCACGGGTTGATATGAGGTAGTGGATGTTCTTAACAGCCACTACACGTTAAATGTCACTCCTGGTGGTATATTTTGTCGTTTGTAGGAACTATAAATAGCCTTTTTACTGTCGACATTCCAGGCATTCGAACGAAACGGTTTGTTTCGTATTTCGTAATGCGTGCTGCAATGGAGTGGATAATTTACTTACTCGATTACAATGTGGGGTTTTCAAGGCATTCACTCTGAATAGTCTTTTGTTGCGCCAAGACAGTGCGGTTTATCATATAAGGCTTCATCATCACTCAAAACCAGGTGGAGTTGTAATCTAGCACAGATATATTACAAGTAAAAAAAGGTCAAAATAAGCCTAAATAAATATTTTTGACTTAGATTTAAATAAAATGGCAAAAAGATGCGGTCTAAATGTAATTACTTTTTACGGATTTTATCATGCATATTAACTTATTTTATATTCCCCACATTTCGAGTAATTTACAGCACCCATGGTCACGGGGGAGACTGAGGTGTTCGACATCCTAATGTCATAGTTAACCACGGCTACCTTCAGTATATAATTATTAATTTTTGGTCACATCTTCGCTGAATAAACTTATAGTATCTTAAACTCTTGCAGTTGTTTTACTTAGGTTGTGTTTGTTGTGTTGATTAGATTGGGATGTAATTTTATTAATTATGGGATCCCAAACAGATTGTGCACCATAAATTTAATTGAATTGTAAATTTTGTACGACACTTGTTTAATTGTTGTCGATTGCGTTACTTCGTAGCCAGAGGATCAGTACCAGTTTCTATTTTACATATTATTACATAGAGTGTTAAGAAAGATTTCCGGGTCTCCGTGTCGTTTCGACATTGTTTTAGGTGTTTCAGGGTTACTACTGGTCTGTGTAGTCTGGCTTACGTCGGCTACAGGTGAAAAACTCTGTGTGTCTGTTGTTTGCTATCAAATCTCAATTAATAAACTTGTAGACTAAGAAATTGTTTTAATAAAAAAAAAATGTACATTTTGTAATTGTACTAGAAATAGGAACAAACACAGGGCTACACCATTTAGTACACACACCAAACTTAATAGTTTTGAAAGTTCTAATTTTGAGGGGCAATTTATATATTTATAACAACAATTTATACGTGGTAGAGCCATGCCGCAGCTATTAGTAATATATTTGACAACGCATCTGCACTTTGATTCGTAATCGAAGATAGATGTAGATGTCTATGGGCCACAGTAACCACTTACCATCAGGTGGACTGTGTGCTCGTTTGTCACCCTTATCCTATAAAGAATAAATAATAATTTAAAATTAAACATTTTGTACAACCGACTTCAATATAAATTATTGAGAATAACTCAAAAACTATTGGTCAGACCTTGATCAAATTTATATGGGATTACATGTGAAGCACCAGCTTTCAAATAAAAACAGCCCAATCAATCAACCATATTTTTTAATATTATAATAATTGTCGTTTTCTACCGACTTCCAAAAAGGAGACGGTTTTCAATTCGACTGTATGTTTTTTTTATGTGTGTTACCTCATAACCTTTTACTAGGTGAACCGATTTCGATGATTCTATTTTTATTTGAACACTTCTCGTGTGGTCCCATATGAATTTAATCAAGGTCAGACCAATAGTTATTGAGTTATTCGTAATAATTAATATTGAAGTCGGCTGTACAAAATTTTTAATTTTAAATTATTTCGCAATATCGACACTTACACTACAGTAAATATGCGAAAGTTTCTCTCGCGTCAATTATATTGACGTAAACAACAACAAATATAAGCGAGAGTATTTGACCCTGTTACACGTACTCTTTGGCAGTAAATAAAATAAAAGATATTATATTTATTTCTGTGCTTTTACGTGGTAGAGTCACGCTGCAGCTATATTATAGTTGTAGCACGAATGTTTCAACTCGACCGGGGAATGATCACGCTCTCAAAGAATACCAGCGTAAAATAGCAGCTTAATGGTGCTATGCTTCGTATGGTGAGTGTATAGAACTGGAGACCCTTTTTACCGGAAACGAGGCATTCCATCGTATTCCTCATTGGTGACAACGCATCTGCGTTTTGGTTCTTAATCGAAGATAAATGTGTCTATGAGCCACAACATCCACTTACCATGAGGTGAAATGCTTGAATTTTATAAGTTAGGTTTGATGTGTAGCGGCGATGTGTGAAGATGTTGTCTGTAAAGAAATTCTCGGTAGCAGTCTACAGTCAGGAAGTTGGCAGTGTTTCACCACCGTGCCTCGGAAAGCACATGCAGCCGTTGGTTCTCTGCCTGATCTTTGTTCAGAGGATTGACGTTCCAGCGGACTGAGAGAGCGAGGGTGTACCTGTGCTTGCGCATACAATATAAACCTGGTTCTCAAATGGCTACTCGTCGTTGAAACTGGTGCCGTGACTGAAAATTCGATCTGGAGTACAATATTTATTACTACTGTATTCAAGATGGTATACCGCAATCAATCAAGGCCATGATACCTTTCTGGTCTTGACACCCGTGTGACGAAATTGGGTAATAGATTATTTTGCGCTACCAAGACACGGTATCTGAAGACTTGCAATAAAAATCAACGTTCAGTCACAACAATCTCCAGTTGCATATTATAACTCGATGACAACAATGCCTTGTTGTCATCGAGAAAACATATTATACTTGCTGTTTTCCACAACTTCGAAAAAGGAGGAGTCTTTCAATTTGACTGTATGTTTTTATTTGTATGCTTACACGTTACCTTCGCAAATTGCAATCCAATTTTGATAATTCTTTTTTTTATTATTAAACTAATTTTACGGATTTTATCGCGTTTAATTTTAGCTTTTTAATATCCGACGTTTCGGGTTCTTTGAAGCACCCATGGTCACGGGGGTGACTGTGGTGTTTGGCGTCCCGATGTCATAGTCCGGCTACCTTTAGTTTTTTATTATTAATTTTTTCAGAACGCGCTTACATTATCTTTATGTTTTACAATGGAATGAAAAAAACATTCCAACCTATGTTTTTTTTTAATTTCAATTTGGTAGGAATCGGTGTTATTTTACGAGGATTTGTGGTCTATAAAATCTGATGTAATGGCGGGGACGATCTTAAACATGTTCACAAACTACAGACTTCCTGGAGCGTCAGTGGTTCATGTCAGCTATAATTTATGTTCTTTTACGCCAGTTTTTATCGATCTTTATATTTGCCCTATATAAGAGAGACTACATTCGCAATCGTAGTACAGCAGGCACATGCTCGACTGTTGTAGGCCTCACTCGGTCAATGTCGCTTAGTCTCTCCCGAAACGTCGGGAATTAAAAAGTTAAAATTAAACTCGATAAAATTGTTTGATTATTTTTTTATTAAATAGGTTATGCTTCGGCACCCCTATAATAGCACCCAAATAATTTTGGAAGCATCCTTAAGTAACGGTAATCCTAGGAATATAAATAAGAATGCTTGATTATAAAAATACTCTAAGGCTATATCCCTTAGTGCCCTCAAAAGGGCAAAAAATTACTTTTAATAAAAAGTAAAATCCGGTTCAAAAGAGTTAAACTACTCAGCACACGAATGAATCATTTTTATATCAGATCTGTTTAAGTATGCCTCAGTCTTTCAAGAAAACCAGTTTATTTTTGCATAATGCCGTTATTGGATGCATGTATGTGATTACCAATTTTTTGGCATTCTCACATTTCATTTTTGATCCCGTTTATGCAGTGTTAAGATTACAGAGAAATCTTGGAACATTCTCTAAATCATCATAAATTTTGCTACAAACCGTACTGTGTCTAAATGCTATTAAACAGTACGTAAAAAACTGCCAACACTTTTCGTCTCCCAGAGTTACATGGCAGACAAGATACAAAGTTAATAGAAAGTTAACTTTGGCCCTAATATAAATCATGATTAAATAATATCTTAACTCAGTACAACTTTCATTCATTTAACTTTTGAAAGTTGTAATGGGTCAAATTTTTTAAAGACAATGCACCTTTTTGGGACTTAAATATAATTTTCTCATTAGTAGAATTTCCCCAGAATGTTATGCCAAACATCAAGATGGAGTCAACAATACCGTGGAATCCGTGAGAAGCAACGCATCGGTACTTACAGCGGATGCGAGTTTTATAGAGCGCATAAGCAGAAGAACTAATTTTCTTGTTTGGTTCTTCTGTGTGGGCACTTTTTAAGGATTTTATCAACAGTTACTCCTAGAAATATTGTTGTGTCTACTTGGTTGATTTCTGTCCCTTGGTAATTAACGTTAATATTTGGTGTTGCTAATCGTTGATTGAAGTACATCATTTTGGTTTATTGAAGATTTAGTATTAAATTATTATTATTAAACCAGTTGATTTTTAAATTGATTGCATTATTAATATCAATTTGAAATGTATCCTTATTGATGGAGTTTATTGTGACCGTACTGTCATTGGCAAAGAGCGATATTGGATATTTTGTTATTCTTGGTACATATTCTTGGTTCGATCTTATTCTCGGTACATATTCTAGGTTCTTTGATGTTGATGCATAAAAGTGTTTTCTGTCTGGCGCCGATAATAATAATATAATAAAACCCCAAACCCATTAAAAAATTGCAAAAAGTGTAGTAAACACTTTTTAAGATTTTTTTTTAATTGAATTGCGGCATTTCTATGCAATCTTACGAGATGCCATTTAAATTGTTGCACATTTAGAATGATGTCTGTAGGGTTAGCTAATTTATCTTGTGTAAGTAATATGTTTAGTATAATTTGTGTACGCCATAAATGACAAAACATGTAGCTCGTTTTAAGTTTTTAACACCTTTACTCATGTTTTATAAAATAAATCTCTTAATTTTTATCACATAAACTAGAATCTAGTTCAGTTACATCCAAATTGTGAACGTTCCGTATACAAATTTATAGCAGTCAGCAACGCCCTGGTCGATACTGTCCGGGACAAATGAAATACTTGTTTCAATAGCGGTTTTTAAATATTTTCAACTGTTAGTATAGTTTCATGTAATCATTTTTTTCTTTTAATATTTAATTTAGCCATAATGTTTGCATAGTATGGGGTCATATATGGTTTTGTAGCTCTTGTCTTAATAGACATTTGTTATTTGAATTTGGATAACTTCCTCATGTGCTTCGGTTTAATTGGTTGAATCTTCTTTTTTTTCGACTTCATCAGCCCCTTTAAGTTGCTTAACATGAAGGATTTACTTTAATTGTCACGCTTGGCAGCCGGATTGACAATCTAAGTTCCAGACCTTCGACGCTGCTGTCTTTGTCGTACGCGAAATGTTTAAACTTGGTTTAAACCGCCATCTACCCGACGCCATGAGGTTATTCAGTTTTCTGGTATTCCCCATACTACAACCACGGGACAGAATGTGATGATGTACCTACTCTCTTACGCCTCCATCACACGGCAATTAGATATCTCAAGTCCTCCCTACTCGAAGGTGATAACGCATCTGAACCTATCTTCGTTTGAATATTACCAAAAATACTTATCAATAGTAACACTGTAAGTTCGTTTGTAACTATAGTTTAAAAAAACGTTTCAATGCACATGTTGTGGGTTGCAACTGGTTTTAAGTGCATATGTGTGCACTTAAAACCCGTTAAAGAAAAAAGAAAGCTGTGTGCGTGAGTGTGTGTCAAGAAGTTGAGCACGGTTTATATGTGGTAGAGCCATGCTGCAGCTATATTATAGTCGAATCACTAATGCTGCGTGTATGCCATAATCTATGTGATACGACAAGCGATGGAGTATTTCATCCTCTTTGCTGACGTGCCCATTGGTGGTAAAGCTCGCCCATGGTTTAACACCGAGTGCGCTCGTGCTGGAAAGCACAAGCATATGGTTGGCTCTACCGGGGCAGGACCACGATCTCACAGGATACCAGCGTAATACAGCAGGTAAATGCCGCTGTATTTCGTATGGTGAATGTAGAGAACCAGAGACCATTTTTACTTGAAACGAGGTATTTCATCTTAGTCCTCAGGGGTGACAACGCATCGGCATTTTGATTTTTAATTGAGGATAGCCGAAGATGTCTATGGGCCACACCATCCTCTTACCATCTGGTGGACTGTGGTGGTTTGTCACCCTTTTTCTATAAAATAGATAAAATAAAAATATGGATAAGGATATAAACTAACTAGTCGATTCTATAACGATTTTTACGAATACTTCACATTGGATAAAAGTAATTTTGCGGATTTTATCTCGTTTTAATTTAACCTATTTTTATTATTATTCTTGTATGTTTTCTACGACGACTGGAATCTCTCTTTGAGGTCTCTGTCTCGGTTGAATTATTGTACATTATCATCAAACTTAGTTCTCTCTGTTTTTTTTTACAGCGCCGGCGGTCTTGTGACCGCCGTAGCGCCGGTTGTAATTCGCTGTAAAGGCATCTGGGTCGGCTGGCCGGGCGTTCATCTGGACGACCCCAATGAGAAGATCCCCGAGTCAGACCCCAACGACAAGACACCCACCTCTGGACTGCTGTCTAGTAAGGTACCTACTATATTATAACGAAGTTAATTTATAAAATCACGCAGAAGTGAAGGTTTTTAATGCGCATTCGATCCCCAACGCATCTGCAATTCCCCTGGTGTTGGAGTTGTTCATGGGCGGCGGTAGCCACTTACCATCAGGTGAACCGCATGCTCATTTGCCTCCTCTCCTATAAAAGAGAATACCAAGAATTTGCTGTAGTGACGGCCGTGTAGTGGCGATGTAAGAATCTCCACTATCCCACATTGTTCCGTGGGTGTCGTAAGAAGCGACAGAGGGAATCCAGGAGTTGGGCAGTACCGTCTTCCTGATAAAATCATATAAAATTATAAAAAATTGTAGTTGCCAACCCAATCTCACCTAAATCTTGCCAGGCGTGGTAACTATGGCAAAATCCCCCTATGAGGCAAAGGGGGAGGGCCTATGTTCAGCAGTGGACTTTTATAGTCTGTATTGAATGGATGGTATGGAAGAATTTACTACTACCCAAACAAGTGAGGTTTCTTTATTTGTATGGTGTACAAGCACTGGCTGGATTTATTATTCAAAGTGTATTATTTCTGGGCTAAAGTTTGAATCCTGAGCTGTTTACGGCGTTTTAGAAAAGAGGAGTTAATAGTGTTTAATTCCACCCAGAACAAGAATACACATCCGGGTCCGGATGTGTGTCCTTGTAAATTTCCGGTTTAATCGGGTAAAATCGGTCCGGGTAAATTTTTGGAAAAAATTGTGTCATTAATATTTATAATATACTAGCTGCCCAAGCAGACGTTGTTCTACCCTGTTCGACGACCCTTCATATAAAAAATCCTTAAATTCGTAATAAAAAAATATTGAATGTCACTTATCAGGATAAAACTATCCTATCTCTCAAGTTGAACGAAACTGCACAGAGTGTGCAAAATTTCATTGAAATCAGTTCAGTAGTTTAGAGAGTTCATCGCGGACAAACAACGTGACACGTAATCTATACAAATAAATAAAATTGGAGTCATCATTCATCATTACAGCCCTTCACAAGTCCACTTCTGAACATAGGCCTCCCCCAAAGAATGCCACAAAACACGGTCCTGAGCCACCTGCATCCATCGACTTCCTGCATGTCTTACCAGGTCGTCACTCCATCTCGTGGGGGGACGCCCTACACTTCGCCTACCGGTACGAGGCTGCCACTCGAGAACCTTTCTTCCCCATCGGTTGTCGGTTCTTCGAGCTATATGGTATATTGGAGTGTCTGTTTGTAATGTCAAAATTACCGTTTTTTACTAAATGCATATGAAAGTAAATACGGTACATATAACTAAAATACAATTTATAAATTTTTTCTGTCTGTCTGTCTGTCTATCTGTCTGTTTGTTCCGGCTAATCTCTGAAACGGCTGAACTGATTTTGGCGGGACTTTCACTGGTAGATAGTTCCGCGCAAATACATAAAAACCCTAACCCGCGGGCGAAGTCGCGGGGAACAGCTAGTTGTTATTTATATAAAGATTAAAAAGGGATAACTGCCGTGTTTTTTCCTCGTTCCTCATACGGGCAGCAGTAACTTATTTCGAAAATACGAAACGGTAGAAATTATAAAATACAAAAACATGTTGATCATTTACGAACGAAATAATATTTTTTTCATTTCGAAGTATTCATATAATTTCAATAGGTTTACGGTTCTCGTCCTTCACCACGGTAATTCTTTACGATACTTATCACATCTCGGTGTTATATAAGTAGGCTATGGGAAACGCAGAAAACATCTCAGATCCTTTTGATTGTGGTATAATCTATCTCCTGTATGACAGATGTAAAATTTACAGTCCAGAGTAGCATCATCATCATCATCATCATCATTAGACCCTTTCACAAGTCTACTGCTGAACATAGGCCTCCCCCAAGGAATGCCACAAAGCACGGTCCTGAGCCACTTGCATCTCTTACTTCCTGCATGTCTTACCAGGTCGTCACTCCATCTACTTGGGGGTCGCCCTACACTTCGACTACCGGTACTAGCCTGCCACTCGAGAATCATAAAAAGTTATAAGTTAAAGTTACAGCCTATATAGGTCCCACTGCGCGCACAGGCCTCCTCTCATTTCTGAAAGGGTTTTAGGGCAAGAAAATGTTCGCCGCGCTGCGCCAATGCATGTTGGCGAACTTCACATGTCTTCGAATTTTTTTCTTATTTCACAGAAGTTTCAGGTTTCCTGACAATGTTTTCCTTCACCGCCGAGCAAGTGGTAAATTAGCACTTAAAATTGCAATTAACAATTTCATTGGTGCCGGCGGGGATCGAACCCGGGTTGCTCGCGTACTGTGAAATTTACAGCGAGCGCTAACGATCTGAGCTACCACGGCTCCTCGAGAATTATAGGTTTTTTTTTTAATAAGATAAGGGTGACAAACGAGCACACAGTCCACCTGATGGTAAGTGGTTGCTGCGGCCCATAGACATCTACATCTATCCTCGTTTGTGAATCAAAATGCAGATGCGTTTTTACCCGTGAGAACTAAGATGGAATGCCTCATTTCCAGTAAAAAGGGCCTCCGGCCACCTGCACTCACCAAGCGAAACGCAGAGGTAAATCTCTACTTCACGCTGGTATTCTGTGAGGTCGTGGTACCACCCCGGTTCGAGCCGGCCCATCCGTGCGATGGCAAAAGCTGCCGCGTGGCTCTACCACTGTTAAAAACAGGTGCAAGAAATTTAGTACTGCGGTCGCTATAGCTCCAGCTAACGTTTACCTGCACCTGTTACGATCAAAACAAATTCAAATAAAGTTAAACCAGGACTCAATTTTCGTAATTGTATATCAATATATAAAAATTTCACATATTATGTGATATATTTATAAAAATTCTTTGATATTTAGAAATCGATAGCTTTCTACGCATAACAACTTACTGCGTAATAGTCGCGTGGTAACTATGGTTTATGTTTATATGGTGTATATGATGGTAAATATGAATATATAGGTTGAAGAAAAAACCAAAGGCAAGTTGTTGCATAACCACAATCAAATACTAGTTACAGGTTCGACAAGATCAAAGAAAGTCGCTCTCATACAATCCTTCTTCATCATAATATTTTCAGAATAGTTCCACTGCTCGACATGAAGATTTATTCTTTAAATAGAACCTTGTAAGGTTTACTGCGTGTTCTTACGGGGCAGAGCCATGCTGCAGCTATATTAATAGTATCGTTGTAGCACGAATGGGTCGGCTCAATCGTGCTCCACCACCACGCTCTCACAGAATACCAGCGTAAAACAGCAGCTTAATGCTGCTGTGTTTCGTATAGTGAATGTAGAGAACCGGAGACCTATTTTACTGAAAAAGAGGCATTCTATCTTAGTCCTCACGGCTGACAACGCATCTGCATTTTAATTCGCAAACGAAGATAGATGTAGATGTCTATGGGCCATAGTAACCACTCACCATCAGGTGGACTGTGTGCTCACTTGTCACCCCAATTCCATAAAAAAAAGATATTCGATACGATCGCTATGTAATGATCGTATACCATTTAGATGATGTAAATGAAAAATTCACAGGCCAACGACTTAAAGTAACGTTAAAATTACGAGGCATCTGGTACAGAGATCGCGCAAAAAATTGCCTGATATGCGTAGCGATTACGACAAAAACTTCCTACATTAACTTTTACTACTGGGATTTATTAAATTTTTTAAATTCCAGCAACACCACTAACATTACCTTTAACCTATCCAAGTAGGCTATAAGTGCTAGTGGCTGATTTGGCTTAAAACGGTAATCCAGTAGTGGGTTTCAATTTTCGAGTTTTAAGTCCATTAACATTTAAGCTATTAACGCTATATAATAGTACTATTAAAACCTCTTTAAATACAAATAAAATTACACTAATAAATCTATAACCTTAATTAGTCTTGCCCGATAAAAATAAAGAATTAATCTTTTCGAAAGGGTCCTAATCCTACACCTTCTTTTTCGGATGTATATTACTTTTTTTTTCAATTTATTTATTCATACAAAGATAGTACATTATTTTTATTACTATCTCGCCAAACTGCAATCAGTTTGTCGGCGAGTACACGCTCTTAAAACTATATATTATTATGCACCTAAACAAATACAATTAATTACAAAAAATAAAAAGAAAATAAAAGATAATTATATCAAAGTTACCTACTACAATTTCATAATATTTAGAAATTACAGAAATAAAAAAAATAAACAACAATAGCAATAAACAAATCAAATAAATCAAGCAGAAAAACGATTAATAAAAGTATGCAACAATATGTAATGTGTTATAGCTCTGTTAACAGTGTACTTTTCAGAGAGGATTTTAATAAGTTTTTGCTTAATTTATTTTTATTTTTATTTGGAGGCGTTTCCCTTAACCATTTTATTTTGTTATAGATTCTGGGTACAATGTATTTATTCAAGCGCTGTCCATAATAGTTATTTGCACTAGGCTTTTCGAGTTATTTTTTCCCTTACCTTACGCGTGTTGTAAGTATTACTAATAGGTACATTATATTCGTCAGTATAATAATGTTCTATTGCTATTAAATATTTTAATTGTGTTTCAACAGGGAGTATTTTACACATGGGAAACAATTTTTCATATTCTTTTTTACAACTTTTCTTATTTTTTGCATTTATTAAAAACTTTATAACGCGTGTTTGTAGGTTTTTCACCTGTTTTATATAGGTATTAAATGTACGCCCATACACAGTAAGGCCATAGTTAATTAAAGACTCAATTAATGCATAGTAAACCACTAATAGAACGTGTTTACTTACTACTTTTCGAATTTAACAGAATTTGCTTAAAATGGACCTTAATTTTTAACATACTTCTTCAATGTGTAATTTCCAATTAAAACTACTAATCTACCAACAATCCTAAATATTTGTAACTATTATAACAAATTCTATTTTGGCACATTGACATGATAATTTTCCCCTATGCAAGCACTCATAGTCATGCCCTACAATACCTATTTCTTCACAGCATACATT